GATTCTTCAAATGAACTAAAAATGTTTAAGTTTATTGGTTCTTGGGAGCTTAATTTTCCAATATTTGTGAAATGTAATATATGTCCCTTGTCTTAGGAGAGTTACTGTTACAAAGTATTTGGGGGCTGCCTCTCTTTCCCCAGGATTCTCCGACTTCCCTGTGCCTATGACAAGCAGGTGTGTTCTCTTCTTTGGCTGTTCACCCTCCTTCCTTGGGTGGTGGTTGATCACATTAGTTCTGCCTGGTCCTCACATGTAAAGTCCTGGCCTGCAGTTTGATCAGTTCCCAGAATCGCTTTCATTAACTCTATTAAATCACGCATCTTATGCAAGATTTGCGATTTTACTTTGCAGTAGATTTTCATTACACTATCAGACAGATCTGAAAATCAGCAAGGTTGACTGAGAAACTAAGGAGAGGCTGGATGGAAATCAGAGGGTGCAGTGGGCCTCAGTGAAAATGCCAGATGGTAAAAGGCATCACTGTCCATGAGAGTGGTGAGCTCAAACGTGAACATTTTGGGGTGGCACTGTTGCTTCTGCAACTCTTCCCTGTGTCAACAGCTATGGGGACCTCTCAGATGTTTCACACTTAAGTAGGACAAGCCAGAAGTGGGACCTGAGACCTCACTGGGTTGCTGTTGGAGGCACTGTCAGTGGCCTTGCTTTCTTCTTGTGAGCTCTGGGCCTCACTACCCCTGAGCCAGGAAGGTTGCTCAGGGCTCTAGGCTCTTGGCATGTTGGTCCCAGAGTTTTCCTCAGTGCTCAGACTGCATGAGCCCCACAGGTCGGTGAGGATGGTGGCTTCTCCACCTGACTGGGGTTAGAACCTCGTGGGGTTGGGGTGTTAGAAGGCTGCCCCAGGGACCTGCAGGTGCCAAGTAGTGGGGTTTAAATGGAGCATTCTAGGCACTGGCCTGGCATAGGACAAAGGGGCAGGACATGGCCATCAAGGCTCCTGCTCACTGCTGACAAGGAGGTGGTATGCAAGGCTATACCCTGTGAGGGTCAGGGAGAGGAGTGCTGGCACAGAGTCATCCTCAGTGCCACCTTCTTCAAATATTTACTCTAAAATCATACAAGGGATACAGGCTTACAGTATTGGGCTCAAAGCGTGGAATCTTCTGGCTGTTCTTCCCAGTCTAGGCCCCTCACCCCTGCTTCAGCAGGACCTGTAGTTAGGCTTGTGTCTTTCCAGACTTTTAAGAAAAACTGTTTTTCGTACATGTACTCCTAGAAATAAATGGCATGATTTATCTATTAGTTTTTTCTTTTAAATGTCGTCATGCTGTGTGTGATGCTCAGCTTCCTCTCTCACTCAGCGCCATGTTGTTGAGTCTATGCGTGTTAATTCCTGTGGATCTAATACATTCCTTTTAACTGCTGTAACCCTATTTTATTGTAACTGTCCTGCGCAGAAGTCCCTTGCTGGATTCTGCGCTGCAGTGGCCCCAGAGCTGGGCAGGCTGGGGCCAGGTGCTGCTGCCCTGGGATACAGAACTGGACTCCCCAGGAAGCTCTCCCTCTACTGCCAGGGCACCATTTTCCTCTGCTGAGGTTCAGTGGAGTGGGCTGAGCACGGCCCTTGGAATTTTCTCCCTAATATCCCACCAATGATGCAAAACAGGATTTAGCAGAGTGGGAGTTTTCCAGGAAAGAAATGGAATGAGAAGTGAGAGTGTCCTTCCTCCCACTGGCACTCATTTGTAGAGCTACCCCCAGGTAGGGGTAGGGAATGCAGGGAGGAGTAGGCACAAACAGCGACCAGCTTGCCTTTCTTCACACCTTTGCCCCTTGCCTTGTTCTTTCCGCTTTTAAGGGGGCCGTGAGCCTTAGAAATTTCTGTGTTGATCTGATGGAAGCCATTGGCCCAGGAACCTCAGGTCCTGACCCTGGAGTGTCAGGATGTCAAGGAAGAGATGGAAATCCCCAGGGAATGCTGGTGTCTGGAGAGAGAGGGAGGTTCTGCACAGGTGCCTGGAGTGAGTGCTCCCTTGGACGGCTGCTCTGTGACTCCTAGGTCCTTTCCACCTCTGGGGAGGCAGTTTCCAACTCTGAAATGTGCCACTAGGATGCAATCCTCTGGTTGCTAGAGCTCTGTCTGGATTTATTGCATCTACTTGGGATAGGCAGCAGGATATGTGCTGGCAGCTGTTTGAGGTGCTGTGTGCTTTAGCTTCTGCCTACAAACTCACCGAAGGTGGAATGGCAGGAAAACCTGGTTTTACCTTGATGCCAATCCTCAGGCAAGGAGGAGGCTTTGGAGCCAGAGGTTTGTAGCTGTGTGGTTGGAGACAGTACCCTGACATTCCTGCTGTGGCTTTGGCTGTAAATGAGGCTGGTCATTCCTTCCCTGAGGCAGCATTATGAGAATTCAGTGGAGAGCCTGCATTCAGCCATCTCAGCCCCTCTAATGTGATGAGAGCTGAAGCTGTGGCTTCCTGTCCCAGTCTAAGGATGGCAGGGTGGTGTGAAACACAGCAGGCCCTAAGCCACCAGGAGGTGTGACTACTGCCCTGCCAAGGACAGGACACTAGCAGTGTGCTCTATACAGGGAGGGGTGCTTGGTCCTAGACACCAGGCCAGATGGGCTCCTCGTGGTCACTATTTTCTGGCAGGTGGCCAATATGTGTACCAGTGGCAGAACTGGGTGGGCAGTGGGACTAGTGATGTCATCTGGATCACATAGCTACGCAGTGGTTCAAATAGAAAGGACTCTATTTCAATAACTGCCTTTAAACCGCAATAGATTTGCTACACAGTCCCATCTTGGAGGGAGGTCACATGGTTCAGAGTACCAGGGTAGCACTTGGCTTCTTTGTGTCCCCAGGGCCATTGCTACAGGATGTACATATGAATGGAGATCACTGGACAGATGTTCACAGGGCAGGCTCACTGGTACAGAACAGGAGCATAGGGCACACTCCCCCAGGCCACAGTAGCTGCCTAGCCAGAAACTAGTGCCATAGCCTCTCTCCTTTCTTTGACTTCTAAGCTGAAATAAGATGAGGCTGTGGCCTCCCTGCCATTGAGCTACCAGGGCCAGAGAGTAGGGAGGGACCTGGGCTACTTTGAACACTGCTCCTGTGGCCCCCGCACTCCAGAGCTCTGAAACAAGGAACCATGTGCACCCTGCAGGCAGCAGGGACTGGGAGCAGCATCCTTCAAGCTGGAGCTCCTCACTGAAAGTGACTCTGTCTAGCTGTTCCCCCCGGCAGGGTGTGGGAGGGTGGCTGGAGGCATTGGCTGTGAGGGGTGGGTCTCAGGCTTCTGTCCTTTCACAGGCACTCTGGGTATGGGGGAAAGGAGGGGAATTCTTGTTGGACCCAGGGGTGCACATCCTCTTCAGTGCTGTGGAGCTGGGCGCTGGTGTGAGATGAATCTGGCTGCAGTAGGTGTTGCAGGGAGAAGGTAGAAGAAAGGACTCTGGAGTTGACATGAGCTGGCCTGAGCCTAAGGACAGCTCTGTGCCTTACTTTGGTGTGTGTTTCTGAGGAGTCCCCAGGCGTCCTCACATCTCAGTGTTCCCAGCTGTGAAATGGTGACAGCAGATCTGTGTCTCAGGGCTGTTGAGAGGAACATAAATTTGCAAACGTGTCAGCAGGGCTTCATGGAGGAAAAAGCATGGGCCCTGGGCAGGTTTAGGCCCTGTGCCTAAGGCTGGCCTGACCTTGGGGCCTTGTTACAGATGGAGAGCCGGCGAGACAGCATGCTGGAGACAGCCAGGCACTGTTTCACGTCAGCAGCCCACTGCGAGGGTGATGGTGATGAGGAAGAGTGGCTCATCCACTACATGCTGGGCAAGGTTGCTGAGAAGCAGCAGCAGCCGCCTGCCGTTTACCTGCTGCACTACAGGCAAGCTGGCCACTACCTACATGAGGAGGCCGCCCGCTACCCCAAGAAGATCCACTACCACAACCCACCTGAGCTGGCCATGGAGGCCCTGGAGGTGACGCCATGCTGGCCCATAGCAGGGAAGCAGGGCTGGGGTGGGCTGGGCTCTGTGTCTCCCCAGAAATGGCACTCACGGTCCCAGTGACTCCTCTGCAGCCCACTGGAAGCTTCTCTTTGTGTTTAGCAGATTCATGTGCAATTAAATTAAAATGGCCTTTTCTCTTTTTTTCTAAGGGTAGCTTATCATCCTTTATGAGAGAGTGAGCATTTTGTTCTTATTTCTTAAAAGATCGTCTTTCCTCATTAACATACACAGGTTCTAAGAATCTGGTCTTGCGATGCACATTGTCGGTGCTGAGAACATTCCCGCCTTGCAGCCTGGCAGGAGGGCAGGCCCCTTGCTCTAGCTGCAGTTGAGACACCTGAGCTGCAGTGAGGCCCTGCCTGTCCCTGGGCTGACAGGGCTGAGTGAGGCTGAGCAGCCTGCTCTTCTGACCCCACGTTCCGAGGTCAAGAGAAGAGCAGCTCTTCACCACTTGGATTCTCTTTTGTGATTTCCAGAATATTCCTAATGAATACTCTCACGGTTCCTCATAGCAGCCCTGTGAGGCAGGCTGGATGGTCACGACCCATAATTTTGTAGGCAAGGTAACCAAGGACATGCGTGGGTCGACCCAGGACTCAGAGCTTCTCAAGGCCCTGAGCACGTCAGCTTTGCGCTGTCTGTGGCTGTGTGCCCAGCCTCCACTAGGTTCATGTCCCCAGCAGGCTTCTTAGAGTTGGGGCAGAATCCTTTGTTTGCTTACCCTTTCTCTGCCTTTGTGAAATTTTTTTCTGATTATAAAGTTAATGTGTATTTATGGTATTTTTTAAAAAAGAAATGCCAACAATTCAGAAGTATATAAAATGTGAATGTTCCCAGTAATCTGAGTGTCCTCCCCTTCCTGATCCCCGTAATGCCCTTTAGCGGTTTGGGTGTGACCCTGTATGTCCAGGTATTTTCCTATTGACACATAGATACACAGTAACATTTTCTCAGGGTTTTGCAGCTTGCCGCTTACTGGACAAAATGTAGTGGAAGGTGTGGTGAGCTGCCCTGCCTATCCTGGTGCCCTGAGCTTCGGCGGGGCACTTGTTTATTTGCACAGCCCCTTCTCCATGGGTGTGGTCTCCACTTCTCACTGTGAAGGTGCCAGCCCTGCCCACCCCTGCAGGTGTCCATGTGCCAGTGGGCACTTCATGGTCCACGGGGGCTGGGGGGGTGGGGTGTCACTGGCCATTTAACATTTTAATCAGCAATGCCTAGCTGCCCTGAAAGATTTTACTGGCTGATGAGCGTGTCTTTTCTCTCTTAACCATGCTAGCACTCTCTTTTTAACATTTGCTGAACTAGTGAGCAAACCAAAAAAAGTCTCATTTTAAAAAATGTGCCTTTTTAAATGATTCATGCTGAATGGTTTATAGCAGCTGCTGGAGAACTGCACTCGTGGGGCTCATTCAGAAGTGTGGAAGCACAGCTTCCTGTTGAGCACTGGTTCAGCCGCAGCCTGTCTGCTGCCGTCCACAGCACCAGTCTCAGGTCCTTGCCCGTCACAATTCTCTCATGCCAGCCACTCAGGCTCATGTGCCTTGGGGGACCTCCACTTGGATGATGAGAAGGCCTAGACCCAGAAGAGTGGGTAACTCGCCCTGAGCCACCCGCAGGGCAGGAAGGAAGCTGGGCCAGATCCCACAGAGCCTGGGCCCAGCGGGGTCAGGGCTGCACAGAGATGCCATGTGAGGACCTGGTTCTCAGGAAGACGGTGTCACCTCTGGTTTTCCTCCATGGTTTCCCTTCACATTGTGGCCTCTGCTGCCACCTGATAGAATTGATGAGCAGTCAGGGTGGTGGTCCCAGGGCGTCTGGGGACTTGCAGATGAAGAACCCAGGCCTCCACATATGGCCCACCTTCCAACAGCGTGCTGTACAGGCGGGCAAAGTTAATTTGGGGGTATCCCATTCTGTGCAGCCATCATAGCCATGGAACTTTGAGACTCAGTGGGTATGTGTGTATATCTTGTTTAAAACATGACATTTCTCTGAAAAATTTAATGCTGCCCTGATGAAAATTCCCCTCTGCTGTTGAGCCTTCATTCAAAATACTTGACCTACCTGGGAGAAATTTACCAGTTGACTACTTTCCCTCCCTCAATTTGGCCAGTTGGACACACAGACGCCTTGCACAATTGCCTGTATCTGGAAATGGAGTTGCTGAGACAGTTCCTCTGGGGCCCATGGGCAGGCTAGAGGTGGGGGGGGGGTGCTCTGCATGTGAGCCTCCTCTCTGTGGAATGTCCTTTGAGGTACCCAGCAGGCATCTCACCTGGGTGAGGGAGGCTGGCTAGTCAGGGCCTGCAGTCCCAGCAGTTCTCAGCCCTTGTGCCCTCCATGGGAATGTGTGCAACAAGTGAGACCTGCATCACCCCTGCACTTGGTGGGGAGGTCAGGTCACATCACCATGGGATATGGCATTTGCTGGGGGGCAGTAGAGGACAGGAGACAGACCTGGACTTACTTGGCCCTGGACAGACCCTTCCTGGCTGTGGGGCCTTGGGCACCCCCTTTACCCATCAGCAAGTTGAGGAATGATGAGGTGAGGACTGGAGGAAAGCAGTGGGCCTTGGCCTTGGCAGTGCTACCCCTCCCCACACCCTGCACTCATGGGGCAGAGCTTCTCGAGGCTTGGGGTACCTGGCTCTGCCTGAGATGGGTCACAAACAGAAATCCAACCTGAGCCTCCCCTCAGGGAGTCTAGAGGACAGCAGTGCCATGGCAGGAAGCAGTACCCAGTGAGCAGAGCTGAGGGGTGGTAAACACTCACTATCTCACCACCACTTGCCTGAGTTACTAGGTAAATGTTTAAGCTGGAATGCTAACAGTTTCCATTTTAATTTTTAGAGCATGTTTTGGATTAATTGTATGTTGGCAGGTTTAAAACAGTGAGTGTGTGGTAGTCTTTTGCCCCTGTCAGGGAGAGCCCATTCCCAGCGTGGCTGCCTAGCCTGTGGAGTGACCCTTAGCCACTAGGAAGGCTGCTCATGCCAGAGACGTTGTTCTCCTAGGTATATTTCCGGCTCCATGCTTCCATCCTGAAGCTCCTGGGGAGACCTGATTCTGGGGTTGGTGCAGAGGTCCTGGTCAACTTTATGAAGGAGGCAGCAGAAGGACCCTTTGCCAGGGGCGAGGAGAAGAATACACCCAAAGCTTCGGAAAAGTGAGTAGCACGCTTGTGGTAACCCTAGCACCTTCCCCAGCTGGACTCCTGATAGCTCATTTGCTACTTTGGGATATAAGCTGGAACTTGTGGAATCCCTAGTTCCTATTTGGATTCCCCTAGTTTCTGGGCCCAGGTATTGCTATTAAATCTGAGAAGGAGAGGGGAAGCGTGCAGTCACCTCATCCTGTGGTCATGCCTGGTGCTGACCCACCCTCAGGAAGTCCTAGGGAGGAGCTGGCACCTTTCCACACTCTACACTGGAGCGTAGCCCTATTCTGTGTAGAAAACATTTTTAGGCCAGGCAAAGTGACTCCCTCCTGTGATGCCAGCACTCTGGGAGGTTGAGGCAGGAAGATCACTTGAGCTCAAACCTGAGCAAGAGTGAGACCCCATTTCTACTGAAAAAAGAGAAAAAAAATAATTAGGTGGATGTCCTGGTAGACACCTATAATCCCAGCTACTTGGGAGGCTGAGGCAGGAGGATTGCTTAAACCCAAGAGTTTGAGGTTGTTGTGAGTTGTGATGTCACAGCACTCTACTCTAGGGTAATAAAGTGAGATTCTGTCTCAAAAAAAAAAAGGGAAAACCAGCTTGGCGCCCATAGCTCAGCAGCTAGGGTGCCAGCCATGTACACCAGAGCTGGTGGGTTCGAGCCCAGCCTGGGCCTGCCAAACAACAATGACAACTGCAACCAAAAAATAGCCAGGTGTTGTGGTGGGCACTTGCAGTCCCAGCTACTTGGGAGACTGAGGCAAGAGAATCGTTTAAAACCAAGAGTTTGAGGTTGCTATGAGGTGTGATGCCACGGCACTCTGCCTGGGGCGACAGCTTGAGATTCTGTCTCAAAAAGAAAAAGGTGAAAACCAGTTTCACTTTGCAAATGCTTGTCCCAGGTTCCTCTGAAGGCCTGGTCTTCTGCCTGTTCTCCTGAGAAGCAGTGCTAGGCATAGGGAACATGGGCTTCTGCAATGCCAGAGAGCTTAGGGAAGCTGGGTCCCTGAGCTGGTGTGGTCCCCTTGGTGGAAATGACCTCTGGGCTCCCTGTGGTTGTGATTAATCTCTACTATGGCCCAGACTTCTGTCATTCCAGCGCCCGCATCTGGCACTTTGGCTTAGCTCACCCCTGCCTGGGCACTGTGTGGGGCTCAGCTGAGTACCAGAGAGACCTACACTCAGTCCCTGGCCTTTGAGGGCCATCTGCTCACGGCCACAGGCAGGCTGTGTGGTGATGTGTGCCACTGGGGAGCATATCCTCTTGACAGAGGCTATACCCCTCAGCTCGCAGGGCAGACGGCACGTGTGTGGCAGGTCATTGCTCTGGGCACAGTGCATCTTTACAGATGTGTATGTGTCAGTCACCAGGGGCCTCCAGGATACAGTGAAGTTGTCTTACATTGATCATTATTCTGATTAAAAAAATTTTGAGTTATATATATAATACGTGAATATTTCTAGTTAGAGAAAATTCAGACAGTATATAAACACGTAGACTAAAATGATTCTCTCCTCCCAGGGTTAACCGCTTCACTGCTGAGTTTCTCAGAT